TATAACAAACCATTTTATTAAATGCATCAGAATACCATTTCTTGCGGTGTCACCCAGTGTACATGTATTACTGAAATGATAGAACAAGCTACTGCAGCGCTTCCTTCGGGTTTCAAAAGAACATTTATAAACTTAACAATGCGGATTTAAAACTGTTTCACCTTTGGTGTTTAACTTTTCACAATGCAGATTAAAAGCTATTTGAACCTTTGGTCTTGAATTCCAAGCAATCTGAAATAAAAAGCTTCCATTTGAGCATTTCTGTCATCTCACAAAATTGTGTGTTTCACCATGTTCTTCAATATATTTATGACACCCATCACTTGGTTCAATCTTCTACTATGCATCGCTTCTGATAATGAAACTTTCCATCTACCTAATTTCGACACCGCTAATGAAGTTATTACAAATAATACTTATTCTGGCATCTCAGATACCTTTGGATTTCTCGATTACCTCAATTTTGAGCCAATGTTTAGCTCAGAATTTCCATCCGATCCTTCACAGCTCATTGATTTCGCTCAGTTGAGTGAAACTGAGGATATAAGCAGTGAAGAATCGAAATCCGAAACTAATCAGATCACAAATTCTCCTCATCCTGGCTTCTCCGATATCTATGATCCACAATAATTTTGAGTTATCACTTAGCTCAGATATGGACTCATACAGGAATCTGTGGAGAGATGCTAACGAAGAATTAAAAACGAGTGATGATAACCTGCGATATCCTTCCATTAGAGGTGAGACTTTTGTTTCAGATACATTTAAAGATAAATAAACTTCTTGTAATTTGAGTTATTTAGATGCTCAGAATGAAACTTCTTCCTCACTTAATCTCAACAGCGATGATATTATCACATATATGCACTTACCTGGCTCACAACAAAATGCCGTTCCGATTTATTTTCACCAGCTTACTCTTCCCCCAGATGACACTTCCAGTCAAAGTGCAACTGCTGAACAGAGCAACATCGACAATAAGCACTTCTCGGATAACTTGAATATCCTCAATTATAGGGAAAATGCCTATAAAGGATTAGAAACAGGTAATGACAAATTGCATAACAAATTTCCGTTCTAATAATTCCTTACTTCATTAATAACGTGATATTGAAGAAAGAAGTAATAACGAATCGAAAATAATTTCATCACAGCAGAAAATTCACAATTACCTGCTAAGTGAGACCTTTTTAAGGAAGATATTAAAAGTGATTTTTGCTACAAATATGTGCGAAGATAAATAAACAACTACTATTTATCTAAGCCATTTAAAATGCAATGTGATATTATTTTATTTTTATGATTTCTTACATTACTTAAGTACTGAATAGTGTAATAAACTACTGATTGTAAAAATAAATGTTTGACAAAAATTTTCCAGATAAGAATGATTATACTTGTCATTACCTGGGATGTACAGTGATCACGAAAGCTCGCAAAGAATATCTAACACATAGGAAAACCCACGGTCAACCCTTCATCTATGAATGCAAAGTGCCCGATTGTGGGCGAACATTCGACCATAGATCATCATTTTATACTCACATAGAAACGCATGAACCTCGTCCTCAGTGCGAGGATTGTGGCAAATTCCTCGTTAACAGGAATGCACTGCGAAAACACAAGAGACTCTGCCAAAAAAAATCTCGTTAGTTTGCAAATTTAACAGAACACATATATCAATCTGAAATGGAATACGCTTAAAATGTGCTATGATTTGTGAGCGCTGAGTGACAACACAACGAAAAATTTACAATTACACTTTTTGTTCAACTATGCATGAAGGTAATTATACAGCTTTTTGTGATCCAAATTATTTGAAACGAGATGTGGTAAGATTATTTCATAGCAGCGATATTTTTATGGTTTATCAGAATACTTAATTAGCTGCTAAACACCATAATAAAATATCAATTCAGACGAACGATGCTATGAATGCCTTTATCCCGGATGTGCTACGGTCACGAAAATTCGCAAAGAATATCTAACACATAGGAAAACACATGGTCAACCTTTCATCTATGAATGCAGAGTGGCCGGTTGTGGGCGGACATTCAACCATGATTCAACACTTTATTATCATAAGCAAACGCATGAACTTCATCCTCAGTGCGAGCGCTGTGGCAAACTTTTCGTTAGCAGGAATGGACTGAATTATCATAAGAAGCGCTGCCCTACAAAATCTCGTTAGTTTATAAATTTAGCAGAATTTTAATAGGTATGTCAGCCTGAAATAGAATGCATGTAAAATTTGTTGCGAAGCATTTGTGACCGCAGAGTGACCTAAGAAGAACCAACTGCTTAAAGAGGTGTTGACAGTGGTGGCAGTGACGTTTCAATATACATCAACAAACATTGAAAATATTAGCAAAGTAATGAATATTCCATCCACTCTTGGCCAAATTGCTTTGTTTTTCTAATTCATGGAAAGTATGCAGAAAAGCATATCATTTCATCCACAAAACCAAGCTGCGATAAACTGCTAATCATTTCTTTTGGCGTTACAAAACAAGCAAAAATTTTCATTCCAGAAAATGAGACACAATTTGGGCATTCTTCGCAAACAATAAGAAAAGGAGCGTAGCAATTTGATGTTTTCGAGGTATCAGAATGCAGCTACCAATTTATAATTTTATTTTATCATTGGAATTTTTCCTATTTTATCTTTATTTATTATTCCATGAACTAGTAAAAAATGATTAGCAAATGGGTTCACAACTAAAATGAACAATTTATGATACAAAGAGCTAATATTAAAAAGCATCCCAAATGAGAAAAAAAGTATTCACCTAATAATTTATAACAAAAGTTGACATCACAAAGTTGTTTTAAGCGAAGAAATGCTATTATAAGGAAGAGAGATGATGCATTTTTAACTTACTTATCATAATTGTTCATTATTAATTTATTTAAATTCAATATGCAAAAAGTTGTTTTCCACTTATCATAAGAAAGCAGCTCTAATCTTTAACATGTTGAACAAATTTTTCTTTTCTCGATTACTAATTATAATGAAACAGAGATCCATTTGATGTTCTTCATATCAATAGACAATTATATTTTTTAATTCATTACTAAATAAATCTATGTTCTAAAAAATACACATGTAGATAAAAAATGGCGCAATTGTCCCTTTTATTGACTGAAAAGCGATCAATAAAATTAGATGGAGAATAAATAGTATTTATCTGTTGAATAATGTTCAAATAAATGATCTGCTTTTGTCTCTTCACATGCTAATTCCTAAGGCCATATATGTCGTGGAAATTACTCACTTTACTCTCTGCAAATTAATAAAAAAGGCACATGGACAAAATTCATTTTCAATTAACAATTCAAAAAAAAAAATTGATCTGCATCAGTACTGATAATGTGATCATGTCATTTAGCAAAAAATTTCAGAGATTGCGTGTAAGTCAAAGATCAGCCATATTTCATCAATAATTTCTAATTTTTACATTGACTGATCATGAAAGATTGATCGCATAAACAACTAAATTTTTGTAACAAATTTTGTTACAAAAACAACGAAATGAAGAAATTTGCTAATAATTATTGCTACAACTATTGTTATACCATTTACATGTTATACTGCAAGTTGACAAACATGTTTAAAATTTTGATAAATTTAAGAAATTCATGAGGTGATTTCCCGTAATACTTCGTCGGTTCACCATGTCTCTTAGTTTGGACTATTGGTAGTAGTCAATATATCCTAGACTATTTCTAGTAGTCAATATACCTTCATAATATTCAATTTAACTATTAACATATTTTTTTTCTGATTTCAGAATTTCTTTCTGAATAATTTCTAAATATTCCATTAATTTACGATCGACATCTTCACTTGTTTGTAACAAATATGTATTTCAGTTCAGATGTTCTTTGCTTCTTTTTTTTTATGTAAATATAAGAAAGTAGAAGAATAATTTTTATAAATATAAGAAGATAAATAATGAACTGAATAGCTGAGTAAATGAAATTCGACTTATAGCTACTCTTTTTAAAAATTCTAAACTATGTCTAGCTATTTGATTTGTTCAATTGTGAAGTATTAATAATTAGTACGCATTCATAAATAACAACATTCACTTTTGGGAAATATTTATTTTTTCGCCATGCTTCACTATATGTCAAGTTGTCAATTTTGATAACGATAATGATGGATGGATATTTTTTTGTTCCTTATTGTGTGATGAAGTGACTTCTATAATTTATAATCATATTTTTCAATTACAATTTAATTAGTGAAACTGAAAGAATATACCTCAAAAATTGATTGGATAAAAAGGATTTATGAACATGCAGAAGCTGATTAGCAGAAGAATTTGTAAATGGATATGGCCAACATTGTGACATAGTTGACAACATTGTGACATAGTTGACAACATTATGACAAAGTTGACAACATTGTGACATAGTTGACATAGCAATCAATCCTGTCATATCTTGTGTTACAATATGTTTTTTTTTTCTTTCTTATATTATATATAATATTAACATGTACTTCATTGATTCTATTTCAAGCATAATCTTTTTCAAAGAATATTTGATCAAAAACGAGTAGAAGCAAAAAAGCATTTATATTATTGACTAATGTCATCAGAAGTTTTGCAGCGACATTTGAGCATGTCACTGATACTAGAAATAAATCTTGCAATTCACGCTATCTAATTAATATACATGATATCGTATTTTGATTTATCACGACTGTTTGATTATCATTTGCTTTTCTGCTTCGTTAACATCTGCAATAAATATAAAGTTAAGCAAGAGATTTTTTTTTTACCATCTGTTTTTCATGATATATCTTTCGTTCATCAAAATGAAATATATCAGTTGAGTATTTATTTCAACTTTATTTATGACATAAAATTAGCATGACAAGAATTGAAATAAAATGTTAGTCGAATTGAAATGAAATCTCTTATAGCATTGAAAATAAAGGAAATGCTTTTAATTTAAAAAAATTACTAGTTAAAAATAAACAGCATGCATTATCAATCATGAATTTCTAGAAATGGCCATCTTCTTTCGGATGAAGGTAACACGAATTTGAAATCATATTCTGGTACTTCCTCAAACTGCTGTGTTCCACTTATACTCAACAAATCTTCAACATGTTTCATAAAATACTCAACAAATCAGTATTCTAAAACATTATACAATTTTCCTTTTTTTTTTTTTTTTTTTTTTTCGAAAACAAAATCAGCAATGATTAGTTAAACATTGCTATTCATACTTTATTAAAATTTTTTAATTGCTTAAAATTAAACTACTCAAATGATACATCTTATCATCATTTCACAACTGTTTGATTTATCACCTGTATGTAACATTCTGATCCTATCATCAGTTGTTGACTATTTATTTTTACAAACGTACAATTTTCACTTATCAATATATTGAGAAATTTGGGATATTGAAGTGCAGCAATCCTATACAATTCATGCAAATTTTCTTCAGTTATAGAATCCAATTCAGCAAAGAAATCTTCCTCAAAAGGAAAATTGTGTTCACCAATTCGATATTCCTGGAAATTTCATTCATTTCTTTAGCTAACAAATTATATGAACAAAAAATGTAACAGTAAGTTTACATCAAATAACTCTTGAATTTATATTTTATTATCAAGTTGCTATCCATCTTTTCATCTTACCACAGAAGAACTGAAAAATTAAAACATATTCGTTCTGTCTGATATAATTTAGTGATTAATAGCAACAAACTCTCATTATCATGTAATAATCAAAATGTGAAAGACATCGTTGCCACTTGAAAATCGCTTCTGATACACCTTCCATAAATTTCATACATGACCAGCATTGTGGCATAGTTGGATCAGTCGGATCAAGTGGATAAAGATGTCTAAGAGTTTTATTTACATCATATAAACATACAGCATGGAAATATAGCTCGATGAATTATATTCTGATATTTAAATTTGAATAAAATAATTAGATGATACTAAAATGATGAGTGTAAGCATCACATACCTTATTTCCTCAAAATTTGCACTCAAATCTTCCCTCAAATGTTCCAAATTTCCCTTTGTAGAATGATACACTACATGACCTGTCAAAAGTTTTGTTCTGTCATCAAAATCGAGTAATAAAATAGCTGCAACATAATACTCGTCACCAGCTGCAGGTGATGAATGTACCGTATAACAAAGACCATTAAATACCTTTACAAAACCACTCTGTAATAGTTAAGAAAAGATTATTGGCTTCTTCATTTCATTCTATACATAAAAAAATTTATTTACATTTTTTTTTTTTATTAGATAATACTATATCCATCTTTATATTCAGTAAAAAATGAAATTAGCATTGAAAATTATAATATATGCTATTAGCAATGTTATGAATCGATCATTTACAAGAAATCACACATACAAAAAAAAAAGCTCTGAAAAAGAAGAAATTATTATTTGAAGTGATTAATGACGAATTAATGAAAAATTTAAAATCATTGTTTTCATACTTTTTCACAGTAATTTATATAATATTATAATTATCATTAAACTTACTGTATTAGCTTCATGACCACGTATGAGAGCTCGACAATTTAATTCTCGTAGTTTCTCTTTCAGTGCTCTTCGATTGAAGAAATATGATGCACCACGTTCAGAAGGTGAATATTTTGATCTAAACACTGAAAATTGTTTTGAGCAATAGTGATAGTGAGATCTGATTGAGAATATTATGCTAATGCAAAAGAGCTTTTCAAGTTATAAACAAAGAATGTAAGCAAATATAAGTTAGTTTATATCGAACTTTTTCAAACTTATACTGAATATTTTATTCCACTGAACTTCTATCATCTCATTTGTAAATCTTGAAATTTTGAATGCTTCAAATAGTGAAATTATTCAATGCTATTGAAATTTAAAAAAAAAAACAAAAAAAAACAAACGTTATTTGTCTAGATGGATCAGCCCATAGAATATCTGTCATAATGCTTATATGAAAAACATTTGTTTCTGGTGCAAGCCATGTTAATGGACGTGGTATCTGAGCAATATCTTCTCTCGATTTAATAAACTGTGAGATACCACCATGACAAAGTAATATTTGATCTGCAACGATTTCTACAATTCAACTGATATCATCTTCTTGTTAACTTTTTTTTTTCTCTCTCTTTTTGGAAGGAAAATATTGTTAATATTGAGAAAATATTTTAATTAATTATTAATAATAAGTAACATTTATCACTTATACCAATAAGAGTTTTTTTTTTTGTTGTTGTTATAAAAAATTTCAGTGTAAATTTAAGCAAAATTTCTTCAAAATTTACCATTCACTTCTCTAATTCTTAAATGTTATCTACTCTATCAGAATGAAAACTTTTCAATACATTAGAATTCAACACTACTAATTGTGCTCACCTGATAAAATGGCAGCAAGTGGTAAATGATCAAAAACAAAATTGATATTATATAGTATCAAATTCCTATCAGCATTCGGATAACAGCGCTCAATCTGTAAAGACAAATCTTTTTGCATTTGTTAATTTAAGCTACAAAAATGTAAGAAATGATAAAATTCAAAATACAAACAATTCAATACTTCCCAATACATCGTGAATATCCGGACGGATAGATGCTTTATAGAGGAATGTCAAGAGGAACTGATAAAAGTAGCATAAACCAGTAGTAATCAGGTTTAAATTATAAAATGAAAAACACACACACACATACATACATTTCGAATTAATCCATTTTCTTCATCCTCATTTGCATAACATTGACTCATTGTTTCATGATTACCACGCAGCATGTACATTCGTTTTGGATAGCGTAATTTCAATAAGAAAAGTAATAAAACCATCTCGAGAGAATGCTTCCCGCGATCAATGTAATCTCCTGTCGAATTCTTATATTAAAATGGTAAGATTGAAGGAAGTAATGTAAGATTCACTTTAATGAAATATAATTAATTGAAAAATGATTTTCAAATTCATTGAATATTTAAATGATAGCACTGTTATAGTATGCTTCATCAACTAACCAAGAAAAATTAATGTTCTTTCGGTGGGCCAACCGGCATCCTTTATTCCTCTAAATAAATCATATAAACTACCATGCAGATCACCAAATATAGCAACACCATCCGGATCATGAATGTACTCTAATGTGCCACATTCTCGTAACAGATCAACTGTTTTGTGACAAATCTGCAATGGACGACATTTGCGCATGTCCTCCTGAATAGTTTGTCATTGTTGTTGTCCAGATGATCGATGTAATTTCAAAGGCAATTGAAAATGATATATACTATCATATTTGATAAGATCAATGAAGTCTATTGAGTGATTCATTTCTGTGATCAGAGCTAATCGAAGCAAACTTTTTCAAAAGCTACAATTTATATTTATTTTATCCACTTTCTCTTTCTTTTCTTTCTCCTACTTTCAACTTTAAAATAAAATAGTGATTGGTACAAAAAACAATTTTTCCAAAGTGATCAATTCACTGAGTGGACATTCTCCACCACAATTATTCAACATCCCATGAATAAGCTGATCAATTTCCTCCTGTTGCAGTGGTGGACATGGCAAGCTATGCTGAATTACCAAATTTCGAGACATTATGTTTAGTACTGAAATTTTGTATGATTTTCTGCTTACATTTTAAAAGTTAGAAAAATTCAGGATAATTCAAGTTTAAAAAATTTTAGTTTGCTTGTCTTTTATTTTGACTAGTACTTCTATTTAGCAATTTTTATTACCATCTTTGATCGTACAATTTATTTAGTGTTTATTTTATCAATGTATAATAATATTTTTCAAATTTCAAATTATGATCTGTTTCTTCGGTCTCCAAATGTAACAGGTGAAAAAGTTTGATTTTAAATTAACAGATGATAAGAACTAAATTAGACTGAAAGTATCAGAAGTATGCTCACACTATTCATCATCAAGCATTCATTTGCTTATTAATAAAACAATTTATTACTATCAAACAATTCATTTGCAGGAAGGTCATAAGGTCATGCAGAATGTCAAATGATAAATTTAAAAAAATTTTTTAACACCTTTTAAATTGCTATTAGAATTTAACCGCTTAGTACGACAAACAACCACTACAAATAATTCATTTCACTGAATTACTTCTCTTCATAAATCTAAAATTAAATCATTAAATATTTGAATAATATTCGATTAAATCATTAAATATTTAAATAATATTCGATTATATCATTAAATATTTGAATAATATTGGATTAAATCATTAAATATTTGAATAATATTCGATTAAATCATTAAATATTTGAATAATATTCGATTAAATCGTTAAATATTTGAATAATATTCGATTAAATCAATTTATTAGCAACCGAAAAATTTAATCCTTTCTTTATAAATTATTTCGCAAAACTCTTCAATTTAGTCTAAATTTGATGAGAGGGAAAGAAATAAATGTATTTTCTATTAATGCAATTTCACAGTAAATTCTTTTCCACGTTGGCTTCAGGACGACCGATATTTCGCGGTTAGCCGCGAAGAATTGTTTATCATTTTCTGATTGTTATCTGATTGTAGTTGATAATTCTTTTGCAGTGATTTCTTCAGCAATTTCATCTGTCCCATACAAATTAGTAATTCATCTTATCTGCTGTAACTTACGTAAATACTTAGTAAAAGCGGCGTACGTAAACCAAATGAGAATAGTACGTTATCATATGAATGTTACAGCACAATGGTATTATCTGTATTATAACGTGAGACATTACGTTTGAGAATTTCGACGTCATTTGCATATGTCGTTCTCAGTATCATTATTGGGTAAATTACTTATTGCCGTTTACGTTACATATGATACAGCGTTAGTACGTCACGTTTCCATTTTCTATACTGCACGTACTTCTCAGGTATACGGTTAAGATACTTTACTCACTGTACAGTTAAGATACTTCAAATTATCAAATAGCACAGCTGAATATATCTTTTCAGCAGTGGTATGACATTTTATTTCTTTGAATTCACTTGCATTTTAGAAATTTAAATGTAAAGTAAGAGATAGTTTTATCACAATATAATTCGTAGATTTTTACCGATTTAGGGACATCTTTACTGTCACTGCTTCTGGCTGGTTATTTGGCTCGAAAATATGGACTACCTCCTCCAGCACCTAAAATTGCTGCTATCGATTTGGGCACAACATTTTCATCAATAGGCATATATCAAGCTGTCACTGGGATAACAGATATAATCGCTGATGAGACGGGACGGCAAAGTATACCAAGTGTTGTTGCATTTTTGTAAGTTATTATTATTAGCACTCATCTTTGATTTTTTCCAACTGTTAATAATGTTCTGTCTTTTTCTATTTCCAATATTATTTTTAAATATCACAGGCCAAATGGTACAGTAATAGTGGGTTCAAAAGCTGTTGAACAACAAGAACACAATCCTCAACGAACAATATATGATGCCAAACGTTTCATTGGCAGAAAGTTGTCTGAAGACGACCCACAATTTCAGGTGTTACTTTTATGTTTGTAAAGCCATTATGAATAATCTGTTTTTGGTTAGTTTTATAAGCGCATTTAGCTTTTTTAGTTTTTTTCGATGCGTACATTCCATGTCAGCACTGCATATAGTGCAGAAAGAAGTGCAAACCAAAGTGGATTTGATTTCTAATCAAGAAATCTGTTGGGGAAACATTTAAAGTTTTACGACTATGTTGTGATTATTTTCCATATGAAAATTCTCGAATCATACTTGCTAGCGTTCTGATTTTCAGAGGTTTTTTTTTTTTTGCAGGTTGACAGGAAGCGATATCCGTTTAAAATTGAGTTAGACATGGAAGGGCGAGTGCTTTTTGTCATACCACTGCAAAATAATGTTATTAAGTAAGTTTACATAGGTGAAATTTCTTTTAATCCACATCTGTGATATAAAATGAGTCGCTGCTTTGAAAAAATTGGTTTCTTTCATAAAGTTTATATTTGTTCTTTCAGAATTGAAAAACTTTCATGGCTTGCTAACCCAGATGTTTTATTTTTTTACAGGAAAATAAGACCGGAAGAAGTTGGTGCAATAATAATAAATTATCTTCGAAAAGCAGCCGAGAAGAAATATGGGACAGAAATTATTTGGGCAGTTATTTCTGTTCCAGCTGAATTTGATGAAGAGCAACGGAATGCTACTTCATTAGCTGTTGAAAAAGCCGGTTTGTTCTTAATTGCAAGAAAAAAAAATTACTGTCTTAAATTTTATTTGAAATTCATTTCTATGAGGTCAGCATTTTTTCATGCAGATATTTTTTGTTAATGCATGCTTTTAGGAATGGAAAGTCGTCGTGTAATTAGTGAGCCAACCGCAGCTGCCCTTGCTTATGGTTTACATAAGAAAAAAGACGTTCAGTACATTGTTGTAGTTGATTTAGGTCAGTTTTATTTATTTATATATTTTTAATGTGTGGTTCTTGGAATAAAGTCCAAGAGTGCTGCATAATATGTTGCACTTTAGGCATTCATTATACTTCTTTCTTTTTTGATTCATTGTTTTGTTTTACCATTTTTTTGTAACTAATAGTTCATTTAAGGCGGAGGTACATTAGATGTTTCGATACTGTGGTTGCAAGGAGGCATATTTATGACAGTGGCAATGGCTGGCAACAATAGGCTTGGTGGCCAAGATTTTAATAATCGTGTCCAAAGTCATTTGATGCAGGTTAATATTTCTGCATATTTTTCTTTATAGTTGTATTCCTAATTCTGATAAATTCAAAACTGAAATGTTGGCGTTTTATATGCAACTAAGTATTTAAAGTCTGAAATATTCAACTTATCGCATGTTTATCCAAGTTTAAGTCTTATTGGTGTTTAATTGAAATATTGCTTCCAAATGTTTTGGAACTTACACAGCTAATTCTGATTGTATCTTAGATGAGTTACCTCTGCCTTGTTCATTTACAGTACATAGAAGAGAAGTACGGCAAGGCGCTTGATGACCAAGAAGATATCCAACAGTTGCGCCTTGCAATTGAAGCTGCAAAAATTCAACTTACTACACTTCCTGCCACAAATATCGATTTAAATTTGCGGTCAATTGGAAAGATGATTTATAGAGTAATGATTATAAGGTTTTGAAATTATTTAGAGATTCAACTTCTGAAGATTTTTAATAAAAAAAAATGTACATATCTTTAGTCTTTGTTTTCAGCTTACACGTGACAACTTCGAATTTTTGAATGAAGATTTGTTTGAAAGTATCACAGAACCAATAGAAGCAGCTTTAAATGACGCTGAAATAAAGGCATCCGATATCGATGAAATTGTACTGGTGGGTGGTTCAACTCGCATACCACGTGTTCGTTCCGTTGTTGGTCGTTACTTTGGGTAAATTTCTTAATTTTTTTATTGGTGGACTGAACGAGCGAAATTAGTACAAGCGAAGAACAATCTAAGCATAGATTATCATCTCAGTAATAATAATAAAAATAAACTGAGCAATGGATGGTTTAGGCCGTACTATGTAGATTGATATATATCAAGTTGAACCATGCTTAGCTTTTTTTTTTTCATTCTGAAAATGGTCATTTGAAATTCAAGACATTGGTCTCTGCATTTGATTATTTGTAGAAAGGCAGCAAATCATGGTGTTGATCCTGAATTAGCGGTTGTGACTGGTGCCGCCGTACAAGCAGGTGTTATCGGTGGTGGTTGGCCTCTTCAGGTTTGTTTTAAACCTAGCAATATGCTTTCGAATTAGCTTTGACAAACTTACACTTAATTTTACAAATCCAATTTTCGACTTTTTATTGGTGAAAGAAGCGGTAGGTATGTATTTTTAAATACAATATGCAAATCGAGATCTAGCAGTTAAAATTAGATTTCGGTCAGGATTATTCTTGAAAATTTGTGAGTATCATGCAAATCTCAGTATTTAGGTATCCGCTATAGAATTACCAGTTAAACGCAGGAAGCATCATATTTTCACAGGACAGAAGAAATCAATCCATTAAGTATTCTCAAAAATGAAATGTTAAACGCATCATTTTTTAACTTTTTCGAAATTGCGCAATTTCTGTATATTAGGCGTTGGTGGGTCTGTATGTAAGCGTTGTGTGAATATTTGTTCTATTGGAATATGCTATTAAAGTTCTAATAATGTTTTTGTTGAAATTATAAAGTTTAATGCATATTTAGTGAAAAATCGTAAACTGTTTAGTAGTTTCATCAACTTTAATA